AGTAAACTGTCACCACAAACATTCTATCGTCCCGACTAACTGCCCCTGGGTCTCCAAGGATGTCGCTTTAAAATGGAAACTACTTGTGGTCTATGTGGCCGTGTAATCTAAGAAAAAAATCAGAGTGTTCAAACGATATTTACAAAGGAACAATTTGACATCGAATACGCATAAGCTGAAGTGGCGACAGAAAAGGTCAGCCGTGAAGAAAGATAGTAATGTTAACGCCAGACCGCTCCACCACGTTTCCGCGTCAAAAACAACAGAGGATTATTATTCTCTGACGGAATATCCTTCGCAGCTCGAGGACAACCCGTCTGCCGACTTGGTTTCCATTTGATATCAAACGTTCACACGGGCTAAGTACTTATTTAATTATAACGTACTTTCATAATTTCTTTTCGTCTGTTTCGGGGAAATTGAATTTAGCTTTCCCTTGACTAAATTGCTTTCTTTTCTGTCTTTTATATCGAACGTTCGTGGCCTGTCTTGGCTGGCGCAAATAAAGAACAAAATAGCCGGTAATAATTTAGATTTCTCTTCGGTGCGCTTTGTTTTCCTGGATTGATGTATTATATTGTACAGATTATTTGAGAATAGTTCATTCTTTGTTCTGAAACTGTTTTCACAGATAATTGTACAAATTTTACAAGTAAGTGTATGCTTAACAGATACCGGACCTTTTAACAATTTTCTTTGCCAGAACGGTTAACCTAAATGTTTCCCAGTCATCTTTATTTACATGTATTTGTACGCTGTGGTCATGATATGCCCGACAGCCGGGAAGGGACAGAAAAATGCCAGGCAGTCAGAAAATTTTCTAGATTATTTCTGCCAAATCTCTTTTTCTAATCGTTTGAAGGTATTCTCATTTATTTAGAATAACCAGGCGATCAGGAAAACAAACTGGCTTGTCGCAGCTGAGCAGTTACAACACGTCGGGTATTTTGCCACAGCGTAACTTTAAAGAAAAAAAGCGCTAAGAATTTTACTACTTGAAGTTCTAAGAAGGAGCTTCTCCCTGAATAATACTCCTCAATCTTACCTTAAATAGTCTTTAACGGCCTTCGAGCAAAAATTTGGAAGTGTTGTAAACAGTATTTAAGCTTAAGTTATAAATGCAGCACTGAGTTTGTAACGATACCTTAACGTGATGTCAACAAGTTCCTTTACAGAGTTCCAAGTAGTGTAGATAGTCGGAACCTTATGTTCAACGGTAAGCTAGCCCTCAAGGAAACGTTAAAGGTTTAGAAAACGACTTAAAGCTTCTCTGTTGGCGGTAAGAAGCTCTCGCATTCGATCATAAATCGAGTTCACGGACCTTTGAGTCTTTTCTTACCTACTTCCGGCTTCAGATCTAGACTCGTACCCAGTCGACGCTCGCACAGTTTCTTCTCAATTCGTTCTCCCCACCACCCGTTTCTCGGAAGGCCTTTACTGGGCCATTCCTTGCTCAGAAACCAGTCAATTTTGCATTTTATCATTTTCAAAATTATTGATACTTTGATTTTGAATGCAGACCTGACAAATAAAACATAGAACAGCTTTCCAGCAGGGTCTGTTTCTCGAAAGGCCCGGTAACTTTTATATTCCGAAGGCAAATTTAAAATCAAAACCTGCTGATAGTAGCACAGTTCCTTGAAAGACAATTTCATAACGAAAAGTTCTTGTTTGTCCACAAAAAGAAAACTGAGCATTTTTTTGAACTCTCTCTTTCCATTTGTATCTTTTTCGGCGTATTTTCAATCTTGAAATACAAAACTTTAGTCTTGAAAACCACCACATGATGAACGCGTGTGAATTTTGTGGGGGAGGGGGGTATGGGTGATTTAGTTTGGATTAGCCTGCGAGCAAGATTTTTTTTCCAAATCCCTGGAATTAGAAATTTTTTCCCTGACATATAACAGTGTAAGATTTTTTTTTCAGCATTATATACGTAATTCCATTTTTGCTTATTCCTCCACGATTAGTATCTATTAATAAGCTTGTATGGAAGCTGGAGCAGGGGTGGATCTAGGGGGAGGGTGCAGGGGGTGCGCACCCCCCTTCCCCCCCAGAGATGACCTGCGGTTTTCTAATACAGCTGGTATTCTGCAAAAAAAAAAACTATGTGGTTTATTGGTGTTGAAGTAGAGCAAGAGACGAGTGCACCCCCTCCTAAAAAAGATCCTGGATCCGCCCCTGTGGAGGGAGAAATAGGCCTTCAATTGCCATCAAAGCGCTTTCCTTCCTCGGTTCTCCGGCCAACGGCAAAGAAAGCAACGCCAAATACTTCCGTTTTCACACAAATCGAAACCTAACGGAAACAATATATCATTGATCTGTTATTTTGAGAGGGATCAATGTAGTATCGAACTTAACCGTGCACAACGTAAAGGTTCTTTAACCGGACACTACTCGCATATTTTGAATTCGCAAAATCCTGCAAGAAAATTTGGTACATGCGCAATAACGAGACTGGGTTTCTTTAGGACATTATATCTTTAATGGACACTTCTTTAATTCTCATGACTCAGTAATGTGCAAACTAATAACTGCGATTCTTTAAAATAAAGGTAATTACAATGTTCATCAGGGATGAGTTACAATATACCGTCTAACATTATGAGTAACTCGGTGCAAATAGTAGCTCACCAAAAGAAGAAATATTTAAAAATATGAATAACTATAAGTTTATTGTATTTTTGAATGAAGCTAACATAATCTAATTTTCTACAAATAAGTTGTATGTTTTTAATGTGAACAAATCTATGGATTCATTCTGCAAACACATTTTTCCATTAATCAATATGTATAAAACTGTACGCTCAGGGGCGGATCTAGTGGGAGTGTGCAGGAGTGTGACCCCCCCCCCCACCCCTCCCTTCCTGGGATATCATTATATCAATCAATCAATCTAATCAGCATATTTATTACTCTAAAATACACTTCATGTTCAAGGACTCGAACGTTAATCGTAATCATTGGCGAGAATTTACGTGCATTTTCTAATAAAGAACTTGTATTTCTACACCCTTGTTTCCCACATAATGAGCGGGTATTGGGTGCCCAACTCGCCACCGGGGTGGTCTCCAGTGTGGTGATCCGTGTCCTGTTCTTCAGCATTTTGGGTTCTTTCATTTTGGAGGGGAGTATCAATAGAAGCGTGCTTCTTCAAAGTAGCCCAAGTTATAAATGCAGTAATAAAATACAAAGAGGAGGTTTTAAGGAGTTCGTCTGCAGCACTAGTCTGACCAGCTATTGACGGCCCTGCTTGAATTACCATTATAAAAAAAAACACCACAGCAGTACATCCAAGAATACAAAGATATATAGCCCTGGAGCTTTGCGAAAAAGTAAGGGACTTAAAAATCGCAGTAGCTTCGTTTTGGAGATCATTATTGTTTTGACTGTTGCCATCATTCGAGGCAGAACTCGAGAGAGGCTGATAACGATAAGAATCCTCAGACAAAGTATAAGTTCCCCATAAAAAGTCTTGAAGTTTATTTCCTCGCTCCCTTATGTTATACCCGTTTGGGTAAATTACCTCCAGGTAAAGGTACACTGCGTAAGTCAATGCACCGAAAATAGAGATGATGGAGAGAGCAACGGTTAAACCCCATGACGGATTGATTCTTATCCCAATTACAAGCCAGCAACTTATATAGCATATCGTATTTCCTCCAAATGTACATAATAGGCAAAATATTGCTTTAATACCGCGTTTACAATTAACATAGGAAAATGAGAAGCGGTGCATTGATTTATATAGAAGAAAGGATTGGGCGACAGTCAATATAATTAGAAAAGCTAAGTTAAATGAAAAATCAAAATAAGAATTATTTCGAAAAGTCAATCCACAGGCAACAAAAAAATATAAAATGCATAGTACTGACAAGAAGTGAATCGAAACACACATGGCAGTTACCGTGTTTTTAATCTTCCTGCCACTTAATCTGTTAATTTTTCTCATGTCGACTATCACTAAACTGAAAATAGCGCCAGCGAAAATTGCAAAAGCAATACCTGCCCGTAACATGCTACCAATATGTCCTTGGGAGTCTCTGACATTTTCAGGTTCACGACCCTCTATAACACATTGAGCTGTGTTCAAAGATGGATCCCGAATATCCGGACTTACAGCCAGATCTTGCAGCTGTAGATCAACAAAAAGGAAAGTTACATTGATTTGTGTTCATTATTAATAAGGATATTATTTTTAGCGGAGCTCCACCCGCGCGCGAAGCGCGCGCGTGGGCGGAGCCCCGTAGCTAAGGAAATGTGGTAATCTACCCATCCCAGAAAATTTGGTAATCACGTGACCGTACGCCGAGCGAGCGAGCGATCGAGCGAGCGACCGTCCGTCCGCACCACAGGCATACCAATGTAAAATAACTCAATCAACAGGTATGGGAAGCCAAATGCAACTCAAGGATTTATTTGGAAGGAAATCACATGGCCGCCCGGACTTTTAGAAAGAAAAAAGTCGTGTCTTTTTCGGCGTTATTTTTTATGTGTACACTAACGTGGATAACAGAGAAAGAGCTAGAGCGACTTATTGAAAATTCGTAGGAAGAAAAACATGGAAATTCAAAGCGGCGGTGAGAAAATGAGAAATGCTAGCGGCCAGCAAGGTGAAAATGAGCGGCAGTGAAAAATAAAAGCGAACATGAACACTGGAAACAAAATATTGGGTAAGCACATACGACAATTTCTCCATAAAAATAGTGTGTAACTAGGAAGTTTGACGTTTTAGTCGTACAAAACAGCGTTGTAGTCGTGCAAAACAACGGCAAGGGAAAGACAAAAAAGCGTGCTGCACGTGCAAATTTGTTTTTTGCTAATTAGAAGAAAAACTGCGCTGCACGTGCAATTTGTTTTTTTGCTAATTAGATCTATTAGTCTTGAAGCCATTTTCATTGTCGTCTCCCGTTTAGCATAACAAGATTTAATTTTTTTTAGTTTACACGTATTATTAACCAGAGCTTCGCTTTTAGCCCTGGCTAAATCTATATATTAACCTTCATTGATTGTCATAATTTTCATTATTAATATCCCCGCCACCCGTCGCCCACCACCTGTCACCCATCACCCGACATCCGTCACCCGCCACCCTGGGAGAAGTCCTGCCGCATTAATATTTCCTGAACGAGCTTTTTATGTACTATGGCTTTTGTCATCCCGCCAATCTTATTCCCAGTTTCCACAGTCTCCGCTAGGACCGCCTGGTACCATGACTTTCCTCTTGGCGCACGCACACAAAAAAAGAAAAAGAAATGGTTGCATTTTTAGAGTCTCGCAGCTAACGTAAGCGGGACTAAATAGCCGAATTATAGAAAGTGAACGGAACAAACGCAAGAATATTAAAAAATGTATGTATGCTCGGTAGATGTGTTCTTCATTTTGAGGAGTATCTGCAAGGAACCAACACCTGTTCAAGTGTCAGCATGAGCCTGATGATTCTGAACTGTGCCGATTAACGGGAAAATGTTTTGAAGAAACGCTACGATGTGGTAATGATGTTAAAAACCTAGAAATATTTTAAATGAATAATAAAACAGCCATTGATTTTGGCTTTCGTTTGATATGAAAAATAATGTAGTTCTCGGAGTCGAGGCTGTTTTACTTTCCACATCGGCCACCCAGCTCCTCGATCTGCATAATTGTTCAGAGATATTTGCACAATTCTGATTGGCAAAAAGCACACGCATAATATGCATTATCGATATGAACTTACATCGACAGCGGTTAGTATGTTTTTAGCTGTGTTTTATAGCGGCGCGAATGTAGACGCTCTTGACAAAATGAGATCCACTTTATTTCGACACCCGTTTATAAATAGAAGCGCGGACTTGTGCGCGTCCATGCTTCTCTTGCACTGAAGTAACGGTAACAGTGACTTCGACGGACGTGCTCCTATCCTTGGTTTGAAAACCGCAAATTATGGCCGCCAACAATTTCTTTTTTTCACACTATATAAGGCATTTATACAAGTGTACGTAAGTAGGAGAACAAAGTAGCTGATAAAGAATACCCTGGTCGGTATTGTCCCGGGAAAGACACTTTACATGGTTTTACTGTGCCGTCAGCTGTGCCGTTCATGTCCCTCCGTATTAACTGTGAATTTATCGAATTTGAATCACTTAAACCATAAAGATTTTATAGTTCATTCCAGGTTAACTGAAACATTTTTTTTGAAACTGCTTCCCATACATACTGGAGAGATGATCACGGATCTTTCCGATTCAATTGAAACTGGATGCAATGGATGCGTTTTGTCTTTCTGCCGAACGAAATCGAACTAATCGCGTCGATTGAGTTCAGTAATCGAGCTCACGAGTTCGATTAATCGAACTCACTGAAAACGGTCCAGTTCGATCGAAGCTGATCGTCTATGTTCGTTTACCGAACCAATCGAACAACAATCCGACCGACTGGGTTCGATTGAGTTCGATTAAAGTTTTTGGTTCGGTTTCGTTCGATTAGTTTTACTTTAGTTTTACTTTCCCGTTCGCAAACGTAACGTTTTTATCATCTCATCAAAGATGAAAGATGATGATATCTTTTTCGGACAAAACAATTTAAGATAAGATTTTTATCTTGCTCAATAGTTTGGCTGGTTTGGAAAAATCGGGTTTCAGAGAAAAAAGAAAAAAAAAACTCGTTACGCTGTTTCTCGTTACGCCGTTACCCGTTACGCCGTTATAGGGTTTACTAACAACCCTTACCTTCGTCAATGTTAAGTTCACCTCGATAGTGCATGTATAGAAGATAATAAAGGGCTGTTCAGGTCGGGAAATATACTCCAAATAGCAGATGTTGTCCATCGAGTTGTCTTCTTGCTATGTTTTCAAACAATAGTTCGTCTTGAAACGAGTAAAATGTTCCGCCGACTGTTCGGCCATTTTTATTTTCACAACCAAACTTAACCTCGTCCCCAGGTCTTCTTGGTTTTCATTAACAGTGCATTAACCTGCAACTGTGCATCACTTTTGACATCATCGGTTGATTAATTGGAAATGCTTCCAAATTTGGTCAACAGAAGCTGGTTATGGTGAATTATGCGCGTGCTTTTAGCTAATTAGAAAATGCGAAATGTTTTGAATGAATAATAATAACTGTTAAGAAATTTTCGCAGTACAGTCCTGGGGGTACTCCCTGATATAAGCTGTATAGGTATGTGCGGCCCCATCGGGTTTTTTGGTGTTTTTGCGCCGTTTTGGTGTGAAAACGCCGGTACACTTTGCCCATTTTGGTCTGGGATCGAGTATGGTTCTTGAGGGAACTACGGGAGTGTATGAACCAACCTCGTTCCCAGGGTTCTCTCCTACCCGCCCTACGGAGCTCCGTAGGGCGGGTAGGAGAGAACCCTGAGAACGAGGTTGTGTATGAACCTGGTTTATCGTTCAATTCAAAATCAGTAAGAAAGAAAGAGAAATGTGCGAATTCGAAATTGCGGATTTGAAAAATTTTTTGTTTGCGCTCTAATCTAACTAATGATAACATAATTTCCGCCTAAAGGCCAGGTCTGAAGACGGGTATGGATTTTAGAGGTCTGGGCCGGGTAGTTCGAAGCTGGGTTCCGGGTTAAGATAATCTAGTCGATAACCCAGGGTTAGTGCGAAATTTTGGAGATTTGGAGATTTGGAGAACCGGGCGGCACCCCCCACCAAGAATTCCAAGGAATACCCCCCCCCCTAACCCCCGCGGGAGTACAGGGCGACCTTTACTTATTCAGACAAAATCTGTACTTACTTCAAATAGCGCCCTTCTAAGAAATCCTTGTATCATTTCCTTTCTTTTCTCTATGTTCTCTGATAAGTTGCAACAAAATGCAGGAATTTGTACGTCGAGCTCTTGTGTTCTAGACGTCACAATAATGGAGCCAAGAGACAACATTTCAAGCAGCAATGCAGGAACATTAGAAAACAGACAGTGTATACTCCAGGTAAACTTTGCCGGTGGAGAGTTGTGTGTTTTATTGAGCCCATAAACATTTACTCTGACAAGAAATGATGGCTTTCCTCCTTCAGGATACAAGGCATGGGATATGTTAAAACTGTTCTCATTCTTTGTTAAGCTTTTGTAGACTTGCTCATATGTTAAACTGCAAGACGTTGAATTGGTGGAATTCATGCAGTGTTTGATGACATCTGCATTCTCATTGTCTTCAGCAAATGACACCATAATGAGAAGGAAGCAACACCAAATAATGAGCCCAAAATTTTGCACTAAGTGCATGCTTGTAATTTCTCTCTTCAGTTCACTGAAAACTTCTCAGAAATGCTGAATAAAAAACAAACAACATTACTTTAAGCATCAATCTCAATTAAATATAAAGGCGTGAAAGCGACATTAAGTCGAACGATCAAGGTCTGCAGTGACGGAGGTGAAAAAAGCCCTTCTCCCTGGAATATACTGCTCAATCTTACCTTTAATGGTTTTTAAGAGCCCTTCGAGCAAAAATCTGGAAGACTTCAAAACAGGAATCGTGTTTTAAATCTGAGTATTTAATATTGCAGCACAAAGTTTGTAACCAGATACCTTAGCGTGGTGCGGAGCAACCTTTGCCGATGTTTTAAAATATGTAGATCCTTTACAACGCTGTAAATGATGTGGTTCGTGGGAACCTTATATTCAGCTGTAGCGTAGCCTTTAGGGAAACATTAAATCGCTTATCTCCTGGCGGTACGAAGCTCTCGCAAACAGTTAATACTGAAGATTATGGATAATGAATAGAGACTGAATAGATTTCCTCGAATTTCGACTTCCGGCTGACCTCTGGCTTCAGATCTAGACTCGTGCCCAGTCGCTGTTCGTGAAAGCTTAAGAAACGATAGCTCAGAATTGCGTACGAAATTTGTAATAGAAAAACAAGGGTAAACACATTTCTCCTTTGAAAATGTAGAAAAATTCTTAATCAACAGATTCTAGATCTACAACGCTACGAAATATTTTACAACTCAGTTGTAAAACGCAGTTAATGGAAAGTGACGCCCTCAATCAGCAACATGTAACGCAACGTTTTGCCAGCCCTTATCACATCTGGAGTTTTACTCGTAGTAAGTAAAATGACTGAGTGGCACGTCAATTTACTTCCGTAGTTGGGAAATTACGGATACAATAGCAATCCTTGTTTATGGTGCAGTTGGGGTTAGTTTCATCCTCGGAGACCCAGGGGCAGTCAGTCGGGCCGGGAGAAAAGGCGCGACGAAAGTTTTGAAAACTGACTGACTGCCCCTGGGTCTCCGAGGATGGGTTAGTTTCTAATGTATCGCTCTTTTTGTCTGGCTAGTAAAAATAAATCTCCTCATGCACATCACGTGGAGCACTTCAAGTGCACGTCCTATTCGATAGTACAGTATTTTTCATTGGCTTACCCTCAGATAGCAGGTCAACTACAAAAGGCCTAGTAAAAATCCTGTGTCTCATTCGGAGCTGTATTGCTAAGTTGTAATAGTTCAACCGTCCTAAAGTCTTGTAATTCCCACCCTTCCCTTCCTTTGGAGGTTTTGTTGTTGTTCTCAATAAACACGGGCTCACCGCTTCTTTCTTCCTTGATTTTCTTTCGGTTTAAGTCTCACGGCGACTTCCCCAGGCTTTGGTATTTAACGAAAACTTGTATATTTGATTGTATTCCAGTACCTGCCGGCCGATAAGATAAAGTTCCTAGAACGGAATAATTGCCTACACCGTTCCATTAAGTTGCACAATGCGGGCCGGAGGTTTGAGCTCCTAGTGCCGTGGAGTGTTAGGCCGTATTAAGTTTGTTTCTTTTGATAGGCTTGGATAAATTCTGCCGGCAGAATAAGGCATTTTCGCGCAGAATTTGAGCAGAATAAGAGAAAATCAGTGGCACTAATGATATGCATAACGGTTGTAAGAAAAATTTAAAACGAAATAAAAAGCAAATGGAAAACCTTGTGATTAATTTCATTATAATATTTAATAGCTACAACACACTCACATTAAAAGTAAGATGAATTACAATTTAGCTACGCATAATGAATATCTTATTAGGCCCAGGTTTTCTTTCTAAATTTGCGAAAATAAAAACGGCCAGAAGGGCCGACAATTTTTTCGGATACCGAGCAGAATTCCCGCAGAGTAAGGGTGTCCGAGCAGAATTTTGAGCAGAATAAGCGATTTTTACGAGCACTGCCGGCAGGCAGAATAAGCCATTTTACAAGCAGAGTTTATCCAAGCCTATCTTTTTTGCCCGATCCAGCGCGCGTACAATTGCGCCGGGTAGATAAGTAAGGCTTTATGGTCACGCTATGGAACTTAACTTGGAGGGGCTTGTATTCGGAGGGGCTTATCTTCCGACGGAAATTTGCGTTTCAAAATCGATTGGGCTAGTAATATAGTTGGAAGTAAATTTACCGTTTTTGCTTTGTTTTAATTTACTTTGTATTTGAGGCCAATTTTCCTAGTACAGACCCCCGAGAGGCTTATATTTGGAGGGGCGATTTAACGGAGGGTTTTTTGCGTTACCGGTTTGGGGGGCTTATATTTGGAGGGGCTTATTTTCGGAATTTTGCGGTATATCACCTCAGCCATGCTTGAAGGCTATCGAGTCCATCCACTGATACGTCTAGGTCGTGTGCACATCAATATCGTTTTTCCCTGATGATGCCGTTGATCGACGAAAGCTTGGATTGTTATTTTATTTTCAAGTCTGTTTAGGGCCTCGTTAGAACTATTTTTATTTTTCGTTTTCTAAAGTTTAACTTCGATGTCAGAGTCCTTACATTTAACTTGAAATTGAACAAGATACAATGCGCAACCTCTTTAATCAAGCAAGAAACTGAATAGTTGAACGACTTTACCCTTTTTCGCTATTTCCAATTTCGCAAATTGCTATTTTCGCAATTGTCATGGGTATACTGACCGATCTAATACGGACATTGTTGATCAACGATATAAAAGATACTTGACGTTCCATTGAGTTTTGTTTAAAAAGGTGTTTTGAAATCAGTTACTATCAGACCTTTTTTATCAGTGCCGGAACCAGACCTTGAGTAGCCTGAGTATCAGGCGTTTCTGAAGGTAAAGGGGGACGAGAGAAGCGAAAAAGGGAGAGAGCGAAAGATGAGAAATCCTAACCCTAACCCTTCCTTTCTCTGCCCCTCCCCTAGCCCCTTAGGAAGGCCTGATACTCAGGCTAGACCTTGAGATAAGCGTGGAGGGGGGCTGGGGGGGGAGGGGGAGCGGTCTCCAAAAAGGAATTTTTGACCTCGGTTTGGTCGAGAAATAAGGGGACCCCTCCCCTGGATTCGCCGCTGTTGATAACATAAAAACTGCAATAATTCATGGTAACGGATATGAATCAACCTCCGTATATCTTAGGGAAGGGTTTACAAAAACTCCTAACAGCTTAGACGAACGCAACGGTTATCCGTAAACATTTTAGCCACACCCGAAAAAACTTGTATCGTCCGGGTGAACGTAGTCCTGAATCAGGACTGTTGTTGTTGACAGTGACTGACTTTTTCGACAACTTGTTTTGGATGTTTTCCCTCGACTTGTTTAAAAGATTTGTTATATTATTATGTATATAACCTCTACTCGCCTCGACTATAGCTGTCGCTAACTACGGGAATCCCGAAATATTTGTTCTTTTGGTAAAATTTGTCGAGAATTAATTAATGAACTGAACCGTGAACTGAACAGAACTGAACTACAGCAGGGGTCAAATGAACCCTAGCCACGCCCAACCTTGTCCCCAGGCTTTTTCCCCCCATTTTCTTAGTTTTCTTCGCAGATTGGTCCAATTCTAATTTTACCAAGAACGTCCCCACTCCTTTCACAAGGAGTGGGCCTCCTTATTGGTAGCTGAGCTTTGCACCAACTACCAACTACCGCGGGCTAAGGGTGGATGGGTATATGTATGGGGTCATTGAGTTGGAACAAGTAGCGTGACGAAGTCGGGAAAGAAGGCAAATCGCCTGCTTGCCGTTTAACAACGCAACATTCACTCCACTCCGCTCGAAATTCAAGAATGTGCATATCAGACCCTTGTGCGTCCTATAACCAAGTATTCAAGTACAGATTGGAATCCCCATACCACATAGTGAGTCGGTTCAAAGGCGAGCGGCCAGATTTCCGGGAGATTTGCGTTTTTAAAAACGATAAGACTATCAGAGATCCACAAATGTGTCTTCCTTAATTGATGAACCTAATTGGTCATCACTGTAAGAGAGCGAAGAACATTGATTGAACTTTCACATTTTTATAAGATGCAGTATAATTTGGTCGCTTTGCCCATTCCTAGTGAATTATCTCTTAATACCTCCAGTACCAGAGGAACTGCCATAGCATGACATAAACCCTTTGATTTTTGCGCTCCCTATACCTGTGTGCTGTTTCAAAATTAGGTCGCATTTAAGACCTTAGTTATGGGTTTTTTTCATCATTTACTGCCTTCCCGATTGCCACGATTAGCCTGTGCATTTGGTAAATTTAAAACTAATTGAAGTAGATATTAAGCCCATTCGCAGGATGTAAACGGGGTGGAAAGATGTAAGCTTGTAAGCGGTGCCAAAAAATGACACTGGTCGCTCCCAGGAGTGTTTTTGCCACAACTAAAAAAACTCATGGAGTGGGACTTAAATCAGGCTGAACTGAGTAAAACATCAGAAAATTGATCTTTATTATTATGACTTTTTTATACCTATTACCGGTTTCCTATGCATGACATACAAAATTAATTACAAACATAAATCTACTCACGGCGTTATTTTTCTAAGAATTAATTTTAGTGAGCTCTTCCAACTCAAATTATTAGCTTAGGTAAACTGAGAACTATAATCTGCAATATTGCATATCCTTGCAGCAATATCAAGCACCTTAAGTGGTAATTTCCAAATTAGTTACTGGAAAAGGTATGCTTTACCAGGCTGGACAATTTCCCATTTAGTGGGAGAGAAATACTTTCATTTTTCTGGCTTAATGGTCATCTACAGTTCGTGATATTAATTACAACTTGGGTCAGTTGAGTCAGTTGACATGTTGTGCTCAACTTCCTTTTTCTTCTCTCTTTCAATGTTGGCTTCAAAAGTAGAAAAATCCACTGAAAAACCATTAATTAACAACCATGGAAAGGAGGAAGGGAGGAACCAGGACTGTGTAACCCCTGTTATAATTTGGTAACCTACAGTAAATAAATTAAATTTGCCAATAATTGCCCTTAATGTACAGTGATAAAGGCAGTAAATTTTGTTTGATAGTAAATTGAAATTCAAACAAAAAAGACTGTCTTACAGTCAACCTATAAATGTTTATGCGACCCCCAATTTTTCAAAAAATTAGTTTTATAGCATATCAGACATAGAATTCAAAATTATGCCTTTACCCAGCCTAGTCCCCATATGTTTTCGGCTCGGTCATTCCTGGACTCTACTATGAGCTGTGACATCACCAAAAGATACTTGCCGAGAACGCCGTTCTCTCGCCCGCTCTCTCCCAGACTTCGCGCGGACAATGGATCAAGAGAGAACGCCTAGGGACTAGGCTGGCCTTTACCCAGTACATGAAAGGAAAAACGCCAGGAGCCCCTATGGCCACAGCTTATTAAAACTGGGTTTAATTTTAGTAACCAGCCAGACAACAAGATGTCCCTCATTATTCTGAGGGATAAAAAAGTGAACAAAATACATGAACAGGCATGAAAATCCCTTGTGGGATGAAATTTTCATGCACGTTGCATATCTTGCCTACTGTAGCTCACCTTCCTTATGGGTGGCAATTTTCATGCAAAATCTACAAATCAGTATTTGACTACTTCTAAGTTCTACTTTCTCCTTTTAATTTCGCTTCCTTAAAGGGGCTGTGTCATGGCAGTCCAGTTCATTTTTTTTAAATTTTGCCAATTAACTTTCCCTCAATCGCTATAGAAATTAAAGTAAGCAAAGAAATTACATGTAAATGACAAAATCAGAGATCTGAGGCAAACAAATATGTCTATTGAGCATTATTTTTGAAGTTGCAAGCAGCAGGGATCAACTTTGAAAAACTGTTAGGCTGAATAGTTTTAAAAAATCCTAATTTCAATCCGCTTCAGTCTTCTTCAGTTTTGCCCATCTGTGACATCTATTGTTTCTGTTATGTTATTTTAACCTTCCTTTAAACTTTTAAGCGGTTATTTTTATGTTTCTCTTAATTTAACGGGCATTTTGTAATTTCCTAATTTGGCTGAATTTCATGACACAGCTCCTTTCAATTGCATTTAAAGGTTGTATAAATTTAAAAATTTAAGATTACTACAATGTTGATCACAAAAATGATGAAATGTCTTTAGGCGATTTCCAAAACAATTTTCCCCACTAGTACATAAGAAATACATACATGACATACAAATTAAGAAGAAAATTTGCAAGTTGATGTTTGGTTAAATTTGATCAACTTTTCCATTGCAGAAACAACAAGTATGGCATCTCTCCACCAAACTTTTACATGGGTGCAAGGAGAGAATGTGGACAACAGTGTTCTGTCTAAAGACGCCCCCAAGTTATAAGTACCAGTATTACACCTGGGTGGGGAAGGTGACAATGCAAGCAACATTTCTTGTCTAAAAACACGAAAATTAGACACAACAAGTGTTACTACTAAATGTTATAACAAATGGATGACTTACTATGTACACACTAACAAGGTACCCTCTTTTCAGTTCTTCAGTTAACTTTACATTTCCTTATTTTCTACTTTTAGTTTCATGAACTGCCATATCTTGGTTGAAAAAACACTTTTTTTGTCAGCATGCAGATCTGGCATGGCATTTGCTTCAGACCATCTTTACTGAAATATCCCGCGACTTGGTTGTTGACTCTTAGCATCATGTCCATAATATGCTCCCTTTCTGCGTGCTCCTTGAACACGTCAAAAACTGCGCTTATGAACCACGAGCCAAGAAGAGGCTGTCGGTAGCTCTGATGACCTGGTGCAGAAGCAAAACAGATGAGAAAATCTGCATCAGCTGGCAAACTTGGATTTGAAAATACCATTGGGTCACTATCACTCTCCACTGGTACTATATCTCGTTGATTTCCTCGACAAGCTTGAATCAGGAATATCTTTGGTTTTCCTTCCAAGGAAGAGCATTCATCGCGGCGGAAAAGTGAAGTGATTGCTTCAATATTAATCACCTCATCATCTGTTCCATAGATTCCATCTTTTGAACCATGGCTTAGGATCACACAAACAAAGCAATCATACTTTGAGAAGTCTTTCTCTGCAGTTTCTGTCAGTAACTTCAGCATCTCACTTCTAGTTAGGTTATCATGAGTCCGGGTCCGGAAGTTAAAGTCATCAAACAGATTTGTCAGGTTCTGAACATCATCATTCGACCCAGTTCGCTCAACATTAACCCTCTGTGGGAAGAGATAGTTATTTATTACCAAGACATAACCAGATTTTGCCAAATAGTTCATGCTATCACCACCAGATTCTTGACAATGGATATGAGCTGTAAATAAAAGCAGAAAAGGGAAATTATTAAAGAAAGCCCATCATTCCGCAGGGTCAACTGTACATACAGAAGGTCCTGCAGTGACAATTTTTGGCCCCAGCGCGCGGCTAGGCACGTGGGTTAGGCCATTGTCTAAATTGACCAGTTACAAACCCATTTCACCTTGTAGGACCTAAATTAGCAGGAATTAAATTGCTATGTCATATATAGAGAATACTTCATGGAAAGTGCTGGCATACGGTATTTACACACCAGTTGTTTTTGTATCAGAAATCGAATGAGTGAGCGCAGTGAACGAGTGAGATTTCTGATACAAAAACAACGAGTGGGTAAATACGGTACGCCAGCATTTTCCATGTGGTATTGTGTTTATTGTATACATACTGAGACATTCATCATTTTGGTGGCCTTTTTACTTTAACTCTTTCCAAAATGCTTAAATTTGCTGCTACACAACACGAAATAACAATGAAAACAAAGTATCAGTTTTTTAGTAGAAACGTTTCTTAAAAACATAAAATTAATGACAGTAAGGATATGAGGTAATCCAAGAACTACAAGTAATCTTAACTGTTTGTTCTGAATGTACAATTGAAAATGAGTGATTTTAAGTAAAATGGCCAGTTTCAATATAAGCTTACACATATAAATGGAAGACTTCTGCGGTTGTTTCGCCGGCCCTTTACAGTTTTCTTTATCGACAGTGAAACAAACAAAACTATTCCACTCCATTTCTGAAATGTTTTTCATTTTTTTAAGGAAAAAAACTCTTTGAGAAAAACTTTTCTCCTCGAATGTGTGCGAAGCGGGGCCCAGCAAGCTGGAAGAAAAGGCAGGAATTTTGGCGCGAAACTCACACACTTCTTTGGCTTCTGATTGGACGTATCATTTTTCTCTCATGTGAAAGAACATCGTTCGCGATTCTGATTGGATGTATCATTTTTTTTTTTTCACGTGTGAAAACCATAGTTCACTCCTCTGATTGGCTAAGAACTCATTTGCGTATCAAAATTTACAACACAACTTTTTGGTGAGTATTTCTCAGTATGTATATAATAAATTCCTATACTAAGGGTACATGCCTGGAACAGGCCACCTGGCTATGGCACCAATCTCCTAGTCTCCCATACAGATCACCAATTCTCCTAAGTAAAATCCTCTTTTGAGCAAATTCTGTGCTTTAGTTTAGAAATTAACCTATTTTTCCCCAAAATTCCAAAATTTTGTACACATGTTACAGTTTCATAGAATTTGCCATTGACTGTCTGTTGTCACAGATGGAAATTTTGATGATGCAAAAAGATGACAGGAGGCCAAGGCTTCCATTAAGAAAATGGAGTGTAGTTCTCAACACATGTCTGTTTGACTTAATGTACTACCAAAGTCAAAGCTGCAGCAAAAATTTGACTCCTTTGAGACTGTGATCTTTTGTTGTTCACAGATTGACAAGTAGCCACCTCGTCTCCTTTCTGCATCCATAATTATACTATTTCACTCACTGAGCATTGCTCTGAAGAAAGAAGCTAACCTTGGGTAACTGAAGAAGGGGGGAATTGCAAGTCCCAGATTTAAGATTTCCGGCAGTTGGCATCTCTTCTATGTATATATAATCACTATAAACTTTTTTATTATTTCAATGTCTTTACAGACAGGCACACCCAACCTCTGTGCTCAGCCCAGCCATGAGTTGGGGAGAATTGCAGGCACACAGCAAGACTAACATGGTTGTTTTCTTTGGTCACTGTTTCATATGAGTCTCAAGGGTATTAATTATTATTTATTTTGATAAATATTAGAGTACCAGGTCAAATATTGATGAACTTACAAGGTCCCGTGGGGGGTACCTCCTCTGAGGGTGGTTTTTGCCGTGGACGTGCTGTAAAATCAATTCAACAAATGATATTTAATATATAGATGTTGTAGTTAATTTTTTTTTTCAGTTAATTTTTGTTTTTCCTTTGTCTAAGCCCGCGTGGCAGGCGTTTGAAAGGGAAGGGAAGGGAGATTTAGGCGCGAGAGAGGCGCGAGGGGCCCGCAAGGAGGGAGGGTCAGAAACACCTGCCACGACACCACTGATTTTCTCGTTTTTAACATCCACCAGGCAAATATTAAAATCCTGATTGGTCAGTCTTCAAAATATTTCAATCACAGCCTTAATACCCTAATCTGATTGGTGGAAATCAACATCGTGCTACTGAGTAGCTTAATCGATCTTTCAGTTATATATGTTGCTAGTGAAGCGTGATGACATTTCCGTACGGAATTCTTTGTTAGAATTAGAAACTGAAGGTATCAATTTCATCTTGAAGGGAGAATAGAAAAAATTTAGCAGTTAAAAGAACCGTATGAAGGAAAAGACCTATCAGCTAGATGAGTTTTACTGACTGGTTTTGAGAAGTCTCATCTCCCAACAGCTTGTTTTACTCATTAGAAGAAAGAAAGGAAAAATCATGCTGCCCGTGTGCTTGTTATCTGCTGTTTGACCTCAAATGCCTATCACGCAGGCTACACTTTATCAACGACCAGATTGTTGAAGACGAAATGACCTATAATCCTTAACGATTTTTGGTTTGAGGACTTCTTCTTGCTGGTTACAGAGAGTCAGCAAAGTGTTTTTAATTTTTCTCAGATGCAAGTTGCGAAGTCCAGTACGATTCCTTCAGCAAAAGATGTAATAGATATATGTTGGATTTTATATAACAAGCCACGCATCGTTGCAACTTTCTTCTTTCAACAGACGAACGAACTTTAAGGTGTGTCAACTGAATTTGGCGGTTTAAGAAATGAGCTAGAAACGTGTGTAAGTGAATTTCCAGTCTCAGACGTGCACTACAGCACACAATCAGTATTTTGAAATTTGTTTAGTTTTGAAAATCGACAAGTCACTTTCAAGATTCGGAATTCCCGTGAAAATTGCTCAATAAGTTTTCAGAATTGTCTGCAAATCTCACATGGTTTCAATTTTTGCCACGATTTGTCCTTAAAAGTTTCACAACTTTCTGTATTTCAGCGCAAATTATGTTCGTAAATACAACATTACACGGGTAAACCGTATCTGACACCTAAAACTAAGGCAACTAAATGAAGTGCAAAGACTTGCTTCCCTTCAAGAAATTCGCAAATCTTGCTAAATTCACTTAAAGAAACCGGAAGTGAAATGTTCAACCACAGTGAGAGATTCTTCTAAGTTAGGAACTTCATTTTCTTACCATCAGTAGATGAGGCTCCAACATTTAAAACAGCATGATCTCCTACCACTATGTTTCCAGCGCAACCAGAAACAACAGTATTAAATTTAGACATTGGTAAAGTTGAGGCGAAATACAGCCACCGTCTTGCGGCCCAAGGGAAAATTTGAGTAAATGGTCAGCGGAAACAGAATATACGTCATGTACTTTGCACATGATGTAGTCATGTACTATATTGGGACCATCCCATGGTACCATGGGGATTCCCCGATCCCCCTAGAGTCTGCTGTTCGCGGGCTAGTTTCCCCCTTGTTTTCCAAGTTTCCAAAAATTTTCCTGCTCCTTCTTTATTGTTTAAAAAACAAAACAAAAGTATTTAAATTGAATTACACGCGCGTCTACGGAAACTCAGTCATTCGTGGCAATAATGGGATAACCCCCTTGTCTAAAATTTATTTTTCCCCTCCCTTTCAAGTCGGTCAAAAAAATAAATAACAGTCTTTTAATGCCCACGTCGTCTCTCACACCATGTCTTCTAAGGTCAAATTATAAACAAACATCTGGACTACACTTTTATGATTTAAAGGATAAATGCATCTGTCCGCGAATTACCAGGTGCATAAACGGATCAAAGCAACCTTTCCCCAAGTCAAACAATCGTTTCCCTCGTCCAAAACAGACCTTGTCACGGTTTTCGACGCCATCTTGACGAGTAGGCAAACATATGACAAATTACAGTGTTTGTATGAGAATTTAATGTCGAATAATTTCCGTAAAACGGCTGTTCTGAAAAAAAATATGACTTGTAAATTAAAGCTACAAAACAATGGATTGTACTGAAAACCTGTTCTTAAATTTCTCCAGAGGCTTGCTTTAGATTTTCTATATATTTGTCTGTGATTTTTCCCGGGACTTTCTCTTACAGACAAACGTATAGAAAATTTTAAAAAGTGGTTCTAGGTCTTTTAGCACATGTAACGTCCTCAATTTTTTTCAGTAGATTCCTTAGGAGTGAGGCTTTAGTGTACAGTTCATACTTTTTTCAGAACAGCCATTCTACGGAAATTATTGGACATCAGATTCTCATACAAACACTGTAATTTCTCACGCATTTGCCTACTCGTCAAGATGGCGTTGAAAACCGTGACAAGGTCTATTAGAACACTGTAACTTGAATATTCTTTCTTCTTTTTAGCCACCTAAATCTTTCACAAGTCCTCGTCACAGTTTGTAAAATAAATCTGTTGTCCTTATAAACTTTAGTCCTATAGCCACACCCCTCAAAGGAACTTGGGAGAGAAAAGCCCCTTGGCAATGTGACATAATGATAGAAATTTTATTTTTTTCAGCATAAGATTCTAATTTCATTTATTCATAATTAATCCATATGCCCTTAAATTACATAAAAATGCTTCATAATCTCGATTATTCATATCTCAATTACGTTTTGTTGTCTTTTAAAGAGCAATGACTGATTCAAGTCTAGTATCTTGAGAGTCTGTATGAAGTCTATGGTACTGAATGCATCTGAGGAGCAAAATGTGTACCACGAGTTACATTAAAACATAAATTAAATAATTTTAAAAAATATCTTTAAATTTTATGGTATACCAGCCAAATTCTTCAAGCTTAACCACATATAGGTTGAAAACAAGTGAAGACATCTAGGAAAAATTAATATTAAGTTAGGGAAAAGTATTTCCTTATTGTTTTCATAACCTAGCTATATAAGAAAAGACCAATATTAAAGTATAATGCAAACATCATTCCCAGAGGGAGATGAAGACTATTAGTGTCAGGACATGGCACAGATCTCTGCCAGTTTTCACTAACTACGAAAAAATGGTCATTATTTTCAATGATTTTAGAAAATGGTGCTTTTAGAAGTTAAAATTAAAGGGGAAGACAAATTCTACCTAGAAAGTACACAGAACGTGATCTGGGTTGGGTTGCAAAAAAAAATCTTAAGATTAAGGGAACTTGTAACTGTTATTTCTGAAAAGTAGGTTATTGTTTCAAAACAAATGTTAAGAGCCCTCTCATCTTAACCATTTAAACCTTAAGATCAAAATTTGAATTCTCATTTGTTGCCCCTATTCATTTCCTACAGAAGTAGTGGGGAGAAGCTGATAAAATATCAAGCCAATTCATCATGTGTGATCATGTCCCTAATTCTCATGACCACTCAGTTTTACAAAGCATTGATATTACAAGGAGAAATTTGATGCTGATCACTCTTAGGGCTTAAAGGGTTAAGAAGGGTTTATGCAATCCAGTCCTGATCTCGAAATCTCAGAAGCATTTGTGATGAGTCTCATTTTTTTGTGTGTGTTTTTTTTAACATCTCAGAATGTTGAACCTTCTACCAACAAGTCTTTTTTAAAGACTTATCTTATTTACTAATCAGGCTAATCAGTACTACCTAGTAAAATACCAACTGGCATTAACACTCTAAGCACCACTACTTCAACAATACAACAGACTATTAAACCCTAATTAATATTTTAACTTATTCTGGGTTTTTTATTTGACATTATT